TCAAGCAGCATTACCACTTCAGTGTTGTGATGTAGTCATGATGCAAAGTACCTCTATGGACAGTGTTGCAGGCTTGCTGATGTCAATTGTGTGCATATTTTTGTGCAAAGATGCCCATTCATTGGCTGAAAGTGCTCAATTAATGCTTTCAGCCAATAAATGAGCAGCATCAGCAAAGCTGCAGAATCTGGATTCGGATCAGCCACCATGACAGCAGGTTTGCCCCCTAACTAAGGAATGGTACCAGGATACTTGTAAAACCATAACCACTACAGTCTGCTGTAGTGGTTATGATGCTTGGAGTAAGGAGAGGCAACTAATGAAGGACTTTAAATTTTAAGCCATGCTTTAAAGGACCACTATAGTGCCAGGAAAACATACTCGTGCCCCCACCCTCAGGGACCCCCTCCCGCCCGGCTCTGGAAAGGGGTTAAAACTTACCTTTTTCCAGTGCTGGGCAGGGAGCTCTTCTCCTCCCATGCGGCTGAATGCGTACGCGCGGCAAGAGCTGCGCGCGCATTCAGCCGGTCACATAGGAAAGCATTCATAATGCTTTCCTATGGACGCTGGCGTGCTCTCACTGTGAAAATCACAGTGAGAAGCACGCAAGCGCCTCTAGTGGCTGTCAATGAGACAGCCACTAGAGGATTAGGGGAAGGCTTAACCCATTCACAAACATAGCAGTTTCTCTGAAACTGCTATGTTTATTAAAAAATGGGTTAACCCTAGCTGGACCTGGCACCCAGACCACTTCATTAAGCTGAAGTGGTCTGGGTGCCTAGAGTGGTCCTTTTAAGGATGGTGATTGGGATAAGGCAAGATATAATGGATGTAGCGGTATTTCTACTATTGCCTATACTGGTTCCCGGAAAATGGATTTGTAGCTATTTTAACAATTTGGAGAAAAATCAAACGTAGAGGGTAATGTTGTACTTTCTTCAAAATGAATAATTTTAAATATTTCCCAAATCACGTTAAAAATGGGTTTAGAAGATATACTCCCAATTAAACACACATGGGTTTTTGTAATTGGGGTATATCTAATAACAGCTTGCAGTAGTTGCAGTAATCTTGTCTGCATCCTTTTGCAAGCCCTCCCCTTCTAACCCCGCCCTGACTTTCTGTGTCTGTCCAATCACAGACTTCCCAACGCAACTCAATGGGAAGTCTTGGCAAGGCAGGTGCTCTGGGCAATTGCTGCCTCGTCACTGAGCTAAACAAACCAGGAAGTAAGAGGAGGCCAAGGGAGCGTAACTAGGTTAATTTATAAAAAGTGCCAATTTCTATTTAAATCTTCTATTCCACTGAAATCTACACATTTTGTAAAATGAAAGAGGACACATAAGGCATTTCAGTAAGCTAATGTGCTTTAGAGGCCTGAAGGGTCACTTTAAGATACAGAACATCAGAGTAGCAGTTAAAAAGAAAATATAGCCTACAAGAAATTCCTTAAATCTCAAACCCAAGGCTGTATATATTGGGAAGGGCATGGGTTAAGAACCAGGTGACTTGCTGTTAGTCTGCAAGAGTGAAGAGAAGACCCAATTACTTGGTAGATACATATTAGTAATCTCAAAAAGCCAGATTAAATCCACCTAGAATGTGACCTTTACAACATTATCCTCGGCGTGCTCCTTTACCTGAAACCGGATATAAACATGTATTTTGAATTGGTTGAGAGAACATTCATTTAGTTTATTGACTTAATTTTGTCTTTTAAAAAAAACAAAACAATCTAATTATATATTTTGTTGTAGATGAACCAAGGATCACACCTGTCAGTGATGGGCTTAACATTTTTGCTCCTTCAAAGTTTTGTGGAAATGAAGATAAAAGGGTCAGTGAAATAACCAAAAAAGAACAAAGCACAAGGAACAGGAAGCAGCGTAATGATACCTGGACTACAGCAAAGGAATGTATCCCAAGTGTAGAAGACAATAACAGGGGCACCCCCGTTTATACACCCTCAGAATACCCCTGTGTAAAAGTTGAGGAATTAGCCTTACTTGAAAGTGAAAATCTGAAGGCCTCTGAAATTCATGAACGCACACAACATAGACAGACAAAATGTACCTCTGATTCTATTAAAGAGGAACAAGGCTCACATGGTAAAGGATGTCTCACAGAACTTTGTACTAACGCAAAACAGCCACAAATGAACTACATTTCTGCTCACAGGTCAAAGGATTGTGTAGGAAATTACACATCCACAGATCATCCACAGACAGACTATGCATCCATTAATATTAAGGAAGAATTGGTTTCATGTGCAAAGGGAAATCTCACAGACATTGACATTCATACAAACACAGAACATACGCAGACAGGATGTCCATCTACTCCTATTAAGGAGGAATCAGCCTCACGTGAAGGTAAAATCCACACTTACATTTATAAACCTACAGAATACATCAATGAGGAGAAAACAGCCTTGTGCGAAGAAAGAAATCTCCCAAACATCAACATGTATATCCCTACACAAACATCTACTCAAATTAAGGAGGAACCAACGTTATTTGATGAAGAAAAACTCACTTATACATATATCTACACACCCAAAGAACAGGCACAGACAGCACATGCATCTATTTATATTAAGCAGGAACCCACATGTGAAGAAGGAATCCTCACATATACTAATTTGTATACACCCACAGAACATAAACAGAGGGAATGTAGATCAAAACATGTAACAGACCACCTCAGTGGGCCTCTTAATACACATGTAATACATAATGGGTTGTCCTTAATGAGGAGTATTGAATCAACCACAAATGGTAATGCACTAGCTCATTCCCACCAAGGTTTGTCCATCTCAGACATGATACACAGCTGTTCTCAGTGTCAGAAATGGTTTTCTAGCACTTCGGATCTTCTTAAACATCAATATGTACACCGAGCAAAAAAGCTCTCCTGTTCTGATTGTGGGAAATGTTTCTCGCGGGTTTCACATCTGATTGTCCATCGAAGGATTCACACTGGAGAGAAGCCATATTCTTGTTATGACTGTGGGAAATGTTTCAGTCAAATCTCTCATCTTGTTATACACCAGAGGATCCACACAGGAGAGAAACCTTTTTCGTGTTATAAATGTGGGAAATGTTTCACACAGAGTTCACATCTAGTCAGACATCAGAGGACTCACACATGAGAAAGGCCAACTGAGCCATAGGCAAAATGAAGAAGTCTACTTGGCAACATGGGCAGCACCTGCTGATGTTAGGACCACATCTCTAGGTTCACAGTGTCTAATTGCCTTTTTTCCTACACTAAACTATATTGTAGGATCAAGAGAACCACTATACGGTAATAATGAAAATAGGATAAGCAGCAGTAAGAAGTAGAATTATATGAACAGCTATGGCTATGTTAAGCTCAATCCCCATTACAGTTTTATTGGAAAGCAGGGATGTGAAACTTATATTGCCCAACACCCAGGCCATGCAGTTCCAGGTGCCAGGAAGCAAGTGTTTTGTTTATTCAGGGCTGCCACGGGAGGGATAGTGTTAGCCACGGAGTGTACCTTCATCCAGTGCAGAGCTGGACTGGCCTATCTGGAAATTTTCCGGTGTGCCGCTATAGCTGAGGCCGACTGCTGCTTGAGAATGGCTTACAGGGAGGAACAAGGAGTGGCAACAGCCAGCTACTCCTTGTAATGCACAGGGTTGAAGCCACCAGGGATACATAGTAACATCAGAACCTCGTGGCTGGCACTGCATGGCAGAGAGCATGAGACAGGCTGCACAACCACACCTAAACAATGAAACATCCTGGCACCTGCTAGTAATTGAAATACTTAATGAGACTGCTGAGTGTGTGTGCGTCAGATAATGTGTAGTTTGTGTGTATGGGTCAGAGTGTGTGTGTGCATGAATGTGAGTTTGTATCAGAGAGTGTATCACAGTCACCTACAGCCAGCACACAACACACACATTACATACATGCAAAACACACCACAAACACTAAGATTGCGTGAGAGGGTAATTCACTAAACTCATTTTTATTTTTTTAAATAGCCATGAGGTGACTAGTGGAGATTGACTCAATTTTTCCATTCAGATGTCAATGTCCAGGGCAGGGGTCACACTCTTTGTAACTAATATTATTTTGTGTCATGATGAACAAGCAGAATGAGCTATAACTTCAGTCCCCTGGACACACCCCAGAAAGGAAATGCTGGATGGACGGGGAGGATAAATCTGCAGATAACTTCAAGGCAAAATTAGAGATGGGTAGAAGAAGGGGAGAAAGTATGGATTAGGATTAGGATAAACAAAATGAGATGGAGAGAGAAAAAAAAAATCCTGTTCAGGGAACAAGACAAATCTGGGTTTCTGTCCTCCAGAAATGCCTCCATCCCGGGAAGCTAGGTTTTGAATCCGCATAGCCGATTACTTTTCCTGAAAGTGGAAATAGTTGCACAAGGTGATATCTTCAAATCGGAATAAGTTGACTCATGTTGATGGATGTCAATTAGGATTGTCCTAAAGGTCACATCTAGACAATCAGGAACATGTAGCGGGCTGTGAAATGGATTCTTATTCCGCTTTCTTACATTACATTAATTGATGTGGCCATGCCAGTCTCAGTGCCAACAATGAACTACATAAAGACTTAGTGAAAAGAAGCAATCTTTCATTTATTTTTTCCCATTTATTTGCACCGAGGGCGTGGGGTATGTTTTGGGTTTAAATAGACATTTGGGAATGAACACAGAAAATGTTTCTATTTATTAAATAATGGGATTAATTGTATTAAACTTTTATACCTTATTTATATAATGTTGTCATTTTTTTAAGTTTGTGAAATGATTACATTTTGGATAGCAATTTATCTTGGCTGACATTAAGAACAAATTATACCTTTGTCAAAGTAACGTTTATTTAAATGTACTGAAATGTATTATATGTACACATACAAGGGGCAGGGACTGAGGACCATGGATTCATTAGAAATCATCAGTATCAACAGGAGAACTGCTTTATGTTAACCGTTTGTGTGTATTAAACTGATCATTTTAAATTTCAAATTTGAGGTTAAATGATCACTATAGTGTCAGGATAACAAACTTGTTTTCCTGACACTCTATAACCCTTGGGCCCCCACCCTCAGGGCCACCCCCCTATGGCGCTGAAGGGGTTAAAACACCTTCAGCCACGTACATTTATCCAGCGCGGTGACCTCTCCTCCCCCGCCGACGGCAGCTCCCAAGTGGAGCGGAATGCGATTCTGCAGCAAGAGCCAAGTGCGCATTCAAACAGTCCATGGGAAAGCATTTCTCAATGCTTTCTTATGGACGCTCTGCACGCTGAATGCGATTTTCATATCCAGCGTCGCAGAAGCACCTCTAGCGGCTTTCAGGAAGACAGCCACTATAGGCTGGATTAACCCTGCAATGTAAACATAGCAGTTTCTCACCAGAACAAATACAGTTTACTGTATGGTTCTGGTAAGTATAGCCTGTCCCTGCAGGCATTTTCATGTAAGCCTGTCCCTGCAGGCATTTTCATGTACATTGCTGCATAGTAACACTTCCTGTGGCAGTCACTCAGATATCCATTGGAGGTGCTTCCTGGGGCAGTGCGTTCAGCGTGTCCACTCTGCATGGAGACATTTAACATTCCTCATAGAGATGCATTGATTGGCCATGGAGGCGTTTGGCTCCCTCCTCCTTGGCTGAGATAATCAGAATTAACTGTGGCGAAAGTGACCTCGCCACTGGTTCTTGGAGGGGCCTGTTTGCCAGCCTCCTGCCCACAGACTGTGGTCCCTGCAGGGAAACCTGTAAAAGGCTACCGAACCGACTATTAGCACTGATCTCCCTGGAACTGTTTTGGGCATAGGACCATGTGCACGGTCGGTCAAAACTATGACTTCATGGAAATTCCTGAACCGATCTGGATGATTTTTGGATATGTTGTTCACCCAGATCGGGGCTATCAGGGAATGTATGGGATTTTATGTGTTTTTAAGGTACTTTTTGGGGTTTCATAAAATTGTATGCTTTTCTGTGCTTGTAGATAATTGGGTTAGATTAGTACAGTTCCTGATTCAATGATCTCCCAAGCACAGAGGAGGGATTCTATTGTTTGTGTATGGGAGTGTCTCACTGTATGACTCTGTTTTTATTGGTTTATGCACGTTATGTCCTTGTGCCCAACAAAGTCCACCTGGGTGTCACCCTTGTTGGGAAACTTGCATAAAAGGCCAGTGTGCCTCCATTAAAATTCTGTTCCTGCTTACCCTCAACATAGAGTCTCATCTCATGTGTGGGGGAAACGGCTGTATCTATCCTGGGGATTGCAATATCACTATACTCCCCAGGAATTATAATCACTAGCTCTTATAAGAGCTGTTCCTGCTACGCTCTCTGGGAGTAGGAGAGGTCTGCCCACTGGAAGCCGGATCCTGGTCTTGAGTCCAGGGTGGGTGAAGAACGGCGAGATCCCAACCAAGCTGCGGCAGTTTGTGGGGTTTACGGTGGTTATGGTGTTTCAGTACAGTGTCTTATAGTGCTCGCAAGTACTAGGAAGCAGTGATTGATGGAGGTACCCAGTCGGGGTGCCAGATGGTCCGTCACATTAACGATCTCAGCCAATCTTATGCTTATGTTTCTATGTAATGATGCCAGCCAAGGAGGTGGATCGGGGTGGACCTGCATGGTGCTAGAATAAAGGTAAGTGATCACTCTATTGAAGAGGGGGGAGGGGGGGAATAAGGGGGAAACTAAATAGTGTTTTTAACACTATAGGTTCAGCAATACACAGTTTTATTCCTGACCCTATATTGTGTCTTTAAATTTCAAATTCACTTTGAATTCTCACTGTAATTTATTATTCAGACTAAACATTGAGGCTAAAATTGTAAGGCTGTAACGGTTATGGTGCCAGGCGTGCTCTGACAACCTCCCAGTATTGGCAGTCAAACCTGTTGCAAACAGCTTGACGACTTACCTGGGGCCTGCCGGGTGCCAGTCACAGCCTCAAATGAGCCAGAAACTGCACAGGATGTCCGCTAAGCACTCTCAGCCAATGAACTGCATCAGAGCAGAGCGCTAGAGAGGCTGTCATGGAGGAGGTGACCAGTGCTCGGCGGGAACCCAGGTAAGTTGTAAAATTATTTGTAAAGGGCACCAGAGCACTCCTGGTGGTTGGAGTGTTTCTTTAACCACATAACAGCAATCTTATTAACATGTCCTATCGATGAGCTGATAAAACCGTATTGTCACACATTAGCTGTTAACCTTTTCCTGTCTCAGTAAGCTTAAAGGGTTATTCCAGACTCCAAGACCGCTTCAGTTATTTGAAGTGGTCATGGTGCCTGGAGTGTGTATGTGCAGTGTTTCAGTATGAAACAGACAGTACATCTAGCACTGTGCAGGCAGACAGGCAGACAGACAGACAGTAACTTTGTTCTGTGCTGACAGACAGACAGACAGTAACTTTGTTCTGTGCTAACAGACAGTCAGTACACCTAGCACTGTGCAGACAGACAGACAGTAACTTTGTTCTGTGCTAACAGACAGACAGACAGACAGTACACCCAGCTCTGTGCAGACGGACATTAACCTTTCTCTGTGCAGACAGACAGTAACCCTGTTCTGTGCAGACAGTAGGGTGCCCACGTGTAGCCCGGGACAGTCCCGCATTTTGTAGGTCTGAAGTTTGGGGGGATATGAAGTTTGGGGGGATGGACATGAAATATGGGGGGTGTATCATTGTGATACTTTTTTGGAACAACTAGAATATGCGTTCCCCCATTTGGTTCCTGAATTATATTCTCTTGGTATCGTGGATATTTTATTGCTTTTTACCACTTGAACAGTAGTGTGCATTTACTTCAAGGTTTCGCGTCTTGTCTCCTCTCTGTGATTCTTCTTAGTACAACGAGCCAAGCGGACTGGTAACTGAATAGTTAGTGTGTCTCTTGATGTCCCTTTCTCAGTGTCACCCCATTTCTGTGCTCTGCTGAGCCTTTTGATGCTTGCCCCACACCAAGCTGACAGAACACTCATGCCCCAAGAAGACAGTTCTGTACTCCGACGCTCATTTGACACATGGTTATGCTAAATATTCAAACAGCATGAGGCACACGTCATTAACAGTAATTAACTTAATGAAAGCCACCTGGATTTTTTTTTCTTCAAGATCTAATTAATTGCTTGTAAAAGAAACACTTGGATATAATTTATAGTCTTCCCAATTTTATTTAGCGTATAGTCACAGCAGGAATCATTTTAAACATTCTGGAATTTGGTGACTGGACTGAGTTTTTATTCACCCCAAAGCACTAATTACTCAATGTTTTTGTCAATTCTGCTTGAAGAACTCTACAAACTAATTAATTCATCAGGCCTTTACCTGGCCCCTTCTAACTATATTTACTGCAGCAGTTTATTGATTTTCTCTTTTACACATAGTTTAGGCTCGCCACCACTTTTCATCGCAGTTGGGAACTATTTTTAATGGGTTTTTCCATATTAGAAAAGGCAAACGATGAGATCCGCCGGGCTCTAGGGAGATGAAGGGGTTAAACTTCCCTCTTTCTCCAGCGCTGGGCGGGGAGCTCTCCTCCTCTTCGGCTGAATGCGCATGCGCGGCAGGAGCCGCGCGCATTCAGCCAGTCTCATAAGAAAGCATTCATAATGATTTTCACAGTGAGAAGCATGCAAACACCTCTAGCAGCTGTCAATGAGACAGCCACTAGAGGCTGGATTAACCTATTTATAAACATAGCAGTTTCTCTGAATCTGCAGACAGACAGACAGACAGACAGACAGAAACCTAGCTCTAGGCAGACAGACAGTAACCTAGCTCTGTGCAGACAGACATACAGACAGACAGTAACCTAGCTCTGTGCAGACAGACAGACAGACCGTAAACTAGCTCTGTGCAGACAGACAAACAGTAATCTAGCTCTAGGCAGACAGACAGACAAACAGACAGTAACCTAGCTCTGTGCAGGCAGACAGACAGACAGACAGAAATCTAGCTCTGTGCAGACAGACAGACAGTAACCCTGCTCTGTACAGACAGACAGTAACCCTGCTCTGTACAGACAGACAGCAACCTAGCTCTGTACAGACAGACAGACAGCAACCTAGCTCTAGGCAGACAGACAGACAGACAGACAGCAACCTAGCTCTAGGCAGACAGACAGACAGACAGAAACCTAGCTCTAGGCAGACAGACAGAAACCTAGCTCTAGGCAGACAGACAGACAGAGAGACAGTAACCTAGCTCTGTGCAGACAGACAGACAGACAGTAAGCTAGCTCTGTACAGACAGACAGTAACCTAGCTCTGTGCAGACAGACAGACAGACAGTAACCTAGCTCTGTGCAGACAGACAGACAGTAAGCTAGCTCTGTGCAGACAGACAGACAGTAATCTAGCTCTAGGCAGGCAGACAGACAGACAGTAACCTAGCTCTGTGCAGACAGACAGACAGTAAGCTAGCTCTGTACAGACAGACAGTAACCAAGCTCTGTGCAGACAGACAGACAGACAGTAAGCTAGCTCTGTGCAGACAGACAGACAGTAATCTAGCTCTAGGCAGACAGACAGAAACCTAACTCTAGGCAGACAGACAGTAACCTAGCTCTGTGCAGACAGACAGACAGACAGTAATCTAGCTCTGTGCAGACAGACAGTAATCTAGCTCTGTGCAGACAGACAGACCGTAAGCTAGCTCTGTGCAGACAGACAGACAGACAGACTGAAACCTAGCTCTGTGCAGACAGATAGACAGTAACCTGGCTCTGTGGAGACAG